CTGTGGGGCATAGTAGGGGAAACACGGACTTGATCTGGGGGCACATGGGGAGTTGCTGGGAAGCTGTCTTGGTGGGGGCAGCAGGGGTCCAATCTGGGCCAGTGGGGGCCCAATCTGGGTTGGCCGGGGCCAGCAGGGGCAGTACAAGCATGATTTGGGCTGGTGGGGGCAGTGTGGACCTGATCCATGCCATCAGGAGCCAAATCTGGGCGGTGGGGACCAGCAGGGGCAGTGTGGGCCAATCTGGGCTGGAAGGGGCAACATTCTGGAGCCTGTATCTCAGGGGTGGGCAAAACACAGCCCGGAGGCCAAATGCAGCCCGCCAGGCCATTCTCAAGACCAGGTTTCCGCCTCGATCCAGCTGAAGTGGCTCTGAAGCTGCCTCGGAGATCTGGCCATAGGGTATAATGGGGAATCAATGAAATATCTATAACTGTGTTGTTTCTTGTCCACCTTGGATGAAACTTGCAGGGATGGTAGCCTCTGCTGAGAGCATGAAATCTGCCAAGCTTGAAGAAGATTGGCGCAGGGATTTGGGGGGTACTGTACCCCAAATTCTTGAAAGCCAAACTCATGTCATAGCTGCGTGTCACACCACAGGGGGGTGAAAACTGCAGAGCTGGTACTTCTTACTGAGGCCACAAAGCCTGCCAGGTTTCAGGAAGATTGGTGCAGGGGTTTGGGGGGAACTGAAACCTTGAAACACTGGCAGATCTCCCTGAGAAGCTGGCTCAAGTTAGAGAGTGGAGTGAGATTTTTCTGTTTTGCTTTTGCATGTTTCATTGGGAAGCCAGATGCACCAATGTTAGCATCCTCTTGCAAGGAAACACTATGAGCATTGAGATGATGATCATCCAGCATCAATGTTGCTGAGCCAGCCATGTCATCTGGATGCCTGACTCCAGACTCCCAAAGCAAGTTTTATTCTCTGAGTCACGGCATATGCTCAAGAGGAGGGCAGAGAAAGTGCTTCAGGGATGTCTTCAAGGCCAACTTGAAAAAATGCAACATCAGTTCATGTAAGACTATCAATTCATGGAAGGCTCAGGACCTCTACAAATGGAGAAAGAGTCTGCTGCAAGGATTTCAATACTTTGAAACCTTACGACAACAACAGGAGATGGAAAAGCGGAAGCAGCAGAAACAGCGTGTTGTGAACTGAATCAAGAATCCGGAGCCACCCACCCCACATGCAAACACATGTCCAAGTTGCAGCAGAGTCTGTTGATCCCGGGTAGGCCTTGTCAGCCATCTTTGGACCCACAGATAAGACAATCATGGAAGACAATCATCCTTGAGTGTGAGGGATTGCTGAAGCTGTCCTATATAATAGATCTTATCTCTGCTGTGTATATCACAAGAGCTTGTCTTGTGCTAAGAGTGATTTCAGGGCAGCTAACAACTACCAGCATTCTGTTTCCACAGGGGCAGCAGACCTTATTTTAGTTATTCTGCACTTTGGGGGGAACCTCAGAAAGCTGGCAGGGCCTTCCTCTGAATTAGCTGTAAGATCAGGTCAGGTTACTGGTTTAGACTGAGATTTTGTCCCAGAGAGGAATCTTCTTGGGAATGAGATCTGGTCTGTACCCAAGAACACACAGCAGAAGTGTTGGGGGAAGGGCCTGGATCAATCCGAAGATTGTGAGAGTTGTCTTGTTGGTTTGGTAACAAAAATTCTTAGGAGAAGGTGTCACAAGCAGCAAAGCATGGGTCTCTTATAAAAACGTTTCTATTTAGAGTAAATTCTTAGGGCAGAACTGTTTTCTGGGAACAAGGAACTTGTGCATGATCCTAGATTCTTGAAAGAAGAGATTGCCTGCATGCCATCTAGGACCGTCTTCATTCAGGTGCACATAGTGTAAACTGGTGCACACAGTAGAAGCCAGTAGTTCTTAACCTTTTCAGACTCAAGTCACCACCCAAAACTTCTCAAAATTTAGGAGCACTCCATTTTAAAAAATAAATTTAAATATAGTATGCACATTATGATATAAACTTGTAATTGCTATATGTTAGTGATTGATTAAACATTATAATTGTATTAATTTCACCCCACCATGCCGCATGCCTCCTCCAGAGCCAGCACTCTGGCTCTGTGTCTCCTAGAAATAGGAAGCACACTGGAGCCGAACTGAGAAGTGGCTGCACAAGAAAGCCGTGGCTGCCTGCATCACATTCTGTGGGCAGACACGCCGTTTCTGCTCCAGCTCCTCCCAGTTCCTCTCCAACATGTCTCCTGAGTTCTACCTGGGAGCAGTAGCAGCCAGGAGATAAATGCTGCTCCAACAGGTGGAACTGACCCACATGCCTCTGTTCCCAAGGGGCATATCAGAGCTGAACCAGGAAGAGCTGCAGCAGAAATGTTGTGCTTCACTGCTTTATGCAAGCTGGTGAGCCTTTCTGTTGCAATCGCTTCTCCATTTGGCACCAAGGTCTCCTGAAAACAGAGGTGCAGAGGGCAATTTCACCCTGCAACTGTAGTGCCAGCATTGCAACATCTCTGGAGGTTCTTGAGGCATCCCAGGGTGGTGCAGTGCCCCAGCTGAGAACCACTGATGTAAGCTAACCTATTACACAAAGGAAATATTCAGGCCCTGCACCAGTGATTTCTTCCTGAGCGGATGCAATTTGCACAATCCTGTCTTCTGAAATTAAGAAGACCTTGTGTAGCATACATAGGCGACTGGTAGGGGGTGCATGGAGGTGCACGGGGGTGAACACGCCCCCCCGATGAAACTGGTTCCCCCCCGATGGCCAACACTGATGCTGTTGGTAGGGCTGGTGCCCCCTCTGACAGGGCCGCCACTGTTGGTGGCTTCTGTGGGTGCCCCCCCAGATTCAGGAGGCACCAGTCACTTATGCACATGTACAAGGAAGGGGAGATCCCTGTAAAGGGGGCTAGCCAGAGGTCCGGTGGTGCATGCCCAGAAGAGCCCGGCCTGCCCATGTATCAGTTAGAAGGAGCATCTGGGTACAAGCTTCAGCTGAAAGAGAAAGTAGCTCAGGCTATGCAGAAGTAGGCAAGGGGCTGCCCTTCTTCCAGTCTGCGGAGACCACAGAGCAAAGAGGAGCTGGGAAAGGAGCAGAAACTGGTCCCTTTGAAGGACAAGGCAGGGAGCTTGTTCTCCGAGGAACAGAGTGAAAAGGGAATGGAACATCCCAGCCTGGATAGCCATGCTGTGGTGTCATACCCAGGGGAGGTGGGTCAGTCTGGCTGGAGGGCCTAATGCAAGCAAGATTAAGTCCACAATAAAGATAAGGGGTTGAGGAGAGCGACCTGGGCAGAACTGGTGGAAACAGGGAGACAGAGGAGCAGAGGTTCAGAGACTGAGCATCTGTTCCCCCTATGAGGGCAGAGCTCCTGGAAGAGGGCTGGTATGAGCCCCCCTAAACCCTGCTTTAGGAAGAGGCTACCTTGCACCTGGTCTTCCCAGGAAACCAGCAGTACAGTGAGGACTATGCCATGCTGCCAGAAAGCTGACCTTTTACCCAGGTTCTGTAGACTCCTGGAGATGGATGTTGTGTTTGTAGGCTTGGGCCTCATAGACTGTGGTCATGTTTGCTTGGCGTTCTTCTTGCCCCATCTACTGAGATACTGGACATGATTACAGGTGTATTTATGCACACCTAAACTTAATGCATATTGAGGCAATTTAGGCACACATCTACATGTGCATGCGCTAATGTACATTAAGGCACATTAAATTTAGGCATGAATAGCTAAGTCACATTAGCCTATGAGCAGATGCGTTAATTTGCATTGAGTGTCTACATGTGGGCTAATACAACTTAGCTATTTGCACTTAAATTCGATACTTGCTTTTTGCAAGTATCAAATTTAGGCAGGACTAGCCTAAAACTGCCATTTTTAAGGCGCATAAAAGGCACATGTGTGGACACACTCTTAATACACCTTAAAAATGGCAATTTTAAGCTAATCCTGCTTTAAAATGTACATGTAGATACCCCTATTGTTGTCTTTGGGGCAGAGAATAAGTAGGAAACTGTTCCTGCTCATTTTTCTGTGTAAACAGGTAAAACATAGCAGCAAACAGGTTTTTTTGTAAGTCTCCAGGAAATTTTTGAACAAGTGAAAATACCCTAACTTCAAAAGAGTTTTATAATCACACAGCAGTAAGCAGCTGCAAGCTTGTCACTGCCACAGGCAAACTCACTAGTAGCTGAAACTCCTGAGGAAGGGTGGTGGGCATCAGTCCAGTGAGTTATTGATTCCGGCCTGGAAACTCTGGTTCATTCATTCAAGATGCTGCCTTGGTCAAAGGAAAAATGTATCTAAGAAAACAACTGGTGCTGTAATCATGCTGCAAAATCTAAACGAGGTGTTGGGCAGGGAGCCGTCCAGGCCAAATGGTCACACAGTTCATGCCAAATGCCTTACAAGTGGTGCCAAATCCTCCAGTGGGTCCCCACAAGGGGAAGGAATGAAAGTCTTCCTCCCTGTCCAGCTGCAGCACTTCTGCAGGACTGCTCTGGAGTGGCTCCTGAGCCACAGGGCTCTCAATCCAGTGCCCTCTTTCATGGAGTTGGCAGGGTGTGCACCTCTGCAGACGTGATGTCCTGGCCTTCTGGTTTCACCCTGCCCCTGTATGGGTGGACGGCCCCCATGCAAAGCTCAGCTGTTAGAGATCAGTCTGCCCTGAGATGTATGTGAAGCTGATTTGACCTCATTTCCATGCCCATGCAGTGTGGAGGAGGGGCAGGAGCTGGGCCTGAGTTCATGGTTATTAAATAAACAATAATAACTAATAATGCTGTGCTCCTCCAGAGCCTCTTTCATAGAAAGTTGAAAAGGCAGGCAGGCCTGCTCTTGGGGCACAGGAGACTGGACACATGGTGCCCACTTACCGCTATGACAGGTTCGCCACAGAGGAAGAGAAGGGAGGACTTAGCTTCTTTTCTGTCCCTGTGCAGGGTGACTAGTAGCCTAACCCTTCAGTCCTTGCAATGCTTAGGTAGGAGTTCTTCAATTTGTATTACAGTAGGCCTGTGTCCCACCCTCCCCCCATTTCACATCTCTTTGTAAAGATGCTGAACACAAAAACAGGCACAAAATATCCTCATAATGATGCATCAGTCTGCTGGAAGATTTTACTTGGACAAAGCTAAAATTTTTATCCTGCTTTTTGCCCAGTGCAGGTCACTTCTGTGTCTTGTTTGATGTTACAAGCTTCCCTTGCCAACTGCGGTTTGGAGCATCCGCGCTTAATATTCTATATACCATTTTGGCTACCACAGTTTTGAGCAACCATGGCTTTTCATGGCTGCGCATCAGCCCACCACCTCCCATTTCAAATAATCCGTGCTCTTGCTAGCCACCTGTGGCACTCCCATCTCCTCATGCACCCTCAGTCTCACATTGTGCTTCACACCGTTAACATCCAGTCGCAGGTGCTCTGCATTTTTTTTTCCACTTTCT